AAATATCCCTTGGTGGAATAAACAATTAGCTTCTTTAAGAACAAAAAAACAAACTGCGTGGTATGACTACAAACAATGCCGCACACTAGAAAAACTCATTTGCTTCAAGAAAGCCAACGCCTACTTCGTCGAGCCGTCAAACAAGCCAAGCGCAAATGTCTCGACGATTTTACGCTCAAAATCAATCTTTCTTCCAATCCGAGACAAATCTGGGCTGACCTCAAAACGTTAGCTGGTTCGCCCACCACGTCAGCAATCAAGTGCTTAAATTTGCCTTCAGGTCACTTAAACAACCCAATAGATATCGCARAASAATTTGTCAACCATTTTTCCAACAACAGTTCTGACAACAATTTCAGCACTCAGTTTCAAGCCCTCAAATCATCCACACTTTCAGAAAACGCCTCAATGTCTCCATCCATGTCACCCTCAGCAAAACAAATCGATTCCAGTGTTCTATTAGATGAGTTTGAATCCCTATCCGGAGTAAGCGGCAAACCCCCGGTTTAGATAACATATCTTACCCTATGATCAAAAACATGCCAATTGAGCTCAAGCAACGAATCGTCAAACTTTACAATAAAATACTGGACAGCGGCATTAATCCCCAATTTTGGAAGACATCGGGCGTAATCCCTATTCTTAAACCCAATAAAGAATGAACAGATATCGACAGCTATAGACCAGTCTCTCTCCTACCATGCTTAGGCAAACTTTTCGAAAAAATAATTGCGAACCGGCTGTCGTGGTACGCCCAGAGGAATGAAGCCAAGGCACATTAAATGTATTACACCACCTCGACCACTCCATCTGCAACGCTCTGTCCAGTAAGAATCATTTATCTATATTATCCTTAGATTTCAAAAAAGCCTTTGATAAAATCGGCGCTCAAATGTTGAATTTCGTTAAAAGTTTTCTCACCAACCGTAAATTGAAAGTAAATGTTAATGGATTCTTCTCCTCCACACTTCCACTCTCAAACGGCACGTCGCAAGATTCGCCACTTTCAACATTCCTCTTCATCACTGCCTTTGATGAGATAAGTCGAATAATAAACACGCACAAAGGAATCGAGCACCAAATGTATGCAGATGATGTCGTAATTTACACCAATCGTTTCGACCTCAACGCAGCCGAACATACATTTTCCAATGTCCTCAATGAAATCTCTGAATGGTCGCTAGTTTCCGGTGCACAGCTATCACTAGAAAAAACGCATATCCTCCATATATGCAGAAAAACAAATTGCAGCGGAATAAAACTTTACTTTAACAACACTAACATAGAATGTACAAAGGAATTCAAAATTCTAGGATTAGTTTTTGACTCTATGTATAACTTTAATTCGCATTGTAAATACATTAGAAACTCTTTGCAATCAAGATTAAACATTGTAAAATATCTTTCGTCAAAATACTCGTTTATACATCCAAATACGATCATCAGTGTTATCAGATCACTTCTTCCTTCAAAGATCGACTATGCGCTTCCGCTTTACGGACGAAGTTCAAAGAACAACATCAAGCTTATATGTGCCCCATACCACTGCGCGTTACGCCGTAGCCTCAGAGCTTTTCCAACATCACCAATTGAAATCATTCTTGCGGAGTCAGGTCTACCAAGTGTACAAAATATGATTGAAGACGCAACCCACCGACTGCTATCAAAAGCGGTTGAAAGCACAAACTCATCGCTGAMCAAGGCCTTTGCTACTTCGCTGAGGCGTACCAGGCTACCAAGATTTCTTTCAGCAATAACAAAATGCGGTATCTTTGCAAAAAAAAATTCTCTTCCACTGTTTGTGAGGAAAAAAGTAAAGGCCCTTCATTGGAGCATGAATACGAAAAAAATGGCTGGAAATTGATCTTCACAGACGGATCGAAATCATCCGAATACACCTCCTTTTCCGTGGTCACGAACACAGGTAATACAATCTGCAACTGGCTTCTTCCTCATATGTGTTCGGTTTTCTCAGCAGAGACATCTGCCATATTGAAGGCGGTCGAGCATGCAAAAAAATACAATGTTAAATATCTCATTTGCACCGACAGCAAGTCTTGCATCTCAGCCATTAAGTCGTTATCTAATTACAATCCGATAATAAGCAAAATCGTCTCTCGTGATCAGCGCTCCGAGAAAAATCAAAATAATGTGGATTCCGGGCCACGTGGGAATACCCGGCAACCACCTCGCTGACGCCGCTGCCAAAAGTGTTAAAAACATACCGGCTCTTACTTACAACTATCTTTCGAGACAAGACATCAAACACAAGAGGCTCGAAGAAAACTTAAATGCTTGGAAACTACACACCCATAGTTACGCCATCATCAACCCAGATAGAATACCAACCTTGTATGGGCCCATCACGAAAATAAGCGCCATCAAAGCATACACTCGCCTCAGGATCGGGCACACCATCCTAACTCACTCGAATAAACTTATGGGAAAATCCCGTTCCAATTGACCTTTTTGTGACAACTCCGTATCAATTCAACACATACTAGCGGACTGCCCAGTGATCCACTCAACAACACACTACTCTGACAACATTGAGTTAGCACAAGCATTAAAAAATCCCTCAGATAAAAACGTAATGATTACATATAAATTTTTAAAAGATAGAAATTTACTAAAATACATCTAACACACTAACAACTAACTAACACAATTATAGTACCTAAGCTATTAATAAGGCGGCTGAAGGCCTAGTAACCAGTGCTCCGATTTCATGTATTTATATAATAAATATTATATTGTATAAATGATTATAAAATAAAAAATAAAATAAATAAACTTTCTCTTAGAAGCCGAGAATTTTTTTAAACCATTGAAAGTCAACGATAGTTTAGGTCATGACATCACGAATACCTTTTGATTTATTAAAGGATGGCTTCTAATCATAAAAGGTTTACGACATTTGTAGAAGATCTTGTCCACCAAAAGATTCGAAAATATTAGGACAAGAAATCTTTGTCAAGACAGACTTGAACATTATTTCGGACCGATTCGTAGAAGGGGCGGAAATTACGTGAGAACCACTCCGTACACGTTCTCATGTCTTTTCCGAAAATTCTGGGGCCTTAGCCTAGGGAAGAATGGGAAGCTCTCAGTTCTAGCGCCCTTCAAAGCGTTTGCAACGACGCTTTGATTAATGATATTTCTTGGCAAAACTTTCAAAGATTGCCAAGACCGCCCAGAGAACCACTTCAAAATAATGAGATCGCGGAAATTGATTTGAGCGAAAGTTTTTTCCTGAAACAAAATTCATTTGTTTATTTTTGCGGCTATATATATTCAAAGTTTTTAAAACTTCATAGTTGTTTGAGTCCGATACCTCATTTTGAAGAAGAAACTGATTCTCGTTTTCTTTTTTCTATGGAAAAAGAATATAACGACTGCAGTCTGGTCAAACCACCTGCAGACTTTATRAACTTCCTCGAAAAATTAGAGGAAATATTTTGCGAGAATTTTGATTCTTGCTGTCATATCCGTGGGTTTCCAAAATGTTTATTTGAAAAAATGAGACACATAGAACCGTTTTATTGCTGTGCTAGTTCTCAGCCAGACGTTCTTAAATGCCTTTTCATTAGGATAAGAACGTATCTTTCAATAAAAATTATTAATAAACAGACGAGCACAACTGCTTTCAAGCATGTGAAATATTTATGTGTTGCACACATGTAAAATTTGTCTGAAGTCCTTTGTCCGGGTGTTTGTCTGAAAAAAATCTTCATTGGTTCTAACTTATTAACATAATTTAATTTTGATATTTTGAAGTTTTCAAATAAATATTACGATAGGAATACACACTCGTATATTCTTGCTATTAGGCACATTCCGCATTTTTTATAGATAGGTTCACGTATCGACCGTATGAACGTTTTCCGACTGTTGTGCGTCTCGCAGTTAATTTGGAGATAGGCAAAAGAGTGTATTTCAACCCAGAGGATACAGTACAGCCAGTGGAAACACCGTCAACAACAAAATGAACATTTACGAGTTGTTTCTGAACTTTCGTCAGTGATCCGTATTCCGTTTCCAGTAAAAATTGCATTTGAGATGACAATCAACAGGCCACAAGGATAGTCACATAGTATGTGGCATAAACTTGGAACTGCTATGTTTTCCACACGTCCAGATATACGTGGCGTCCTCACTAGTTGGAAAACCATCTTTTCTGTACACCGGAACAGAAACCAAAAAATGATCTTTATCAAGTTAYGTTACATTGAAGAAAAAATGAAATGATAAATTTAACTTTCTTTTTATTTCAAAACACATAATTACACGCAGAACAACAGCTGCGGGGTTATCTAGTTACTAATAAAAATATATGTTCACTTTGATCCATTATATTTACGAAATTTATGTAAAATTKATTTATTTTTAACCTTTTCGTGTTTAAGTTGCTTATAGTATGTTCGGACCGACAATGAAAACATGTTTTAGTGGGAAAACTGGTTTCCGCCCTAAATCTTGTACTTTCGAAAACATGTTTTTGTGAGAAAAACTGGTTTTCGCAGGAAACTTGCATTTTCGTCCATGTGAAGTCTGTCAAACGATATCTGTCAAACATATAGACATATTTCGTCCTTGAATTGTTGAGGAAGGTAAGTTTTAAATATATTTTGTAATTTATAATTAAATTATAAGATTTGTTACAGCTTTTTAATAATAATATATGCAAAATGTGCTCTAATTCACAATGCACAATAGTCATTCTCAATAAATTAACCGAATCAGCCGTTCATATATCAATAGATTCTGCAATGGGTGCTCTCTTGGCTTTGCGTATTTCAGTATAGGATTTTTGCATTTTGTGTCATCGTGCAATCTTGCAAGAGCAAGAGAATGTCGCTTTTGATAGTTGTCAAGCGAAAACACACATTGTCGGTCCAAACGACTTAGATTCCACAACATACAAATGTAATTCAAAATGATTTCAATTTCTGTACGAACATAGTGTAATGTATCTCGCATTTTTATCAATTCTCGTTCAGTCTCGAATATCGAGGGTATCGATATTTCGAAACCGATCACTGCTTGTATCACTAGTGCCCAATTGAATTTCGAACAGTGATGTCATTTGTAGCGTAAATATTGTGCAAAATCGTAATATGTTTATTGTTTTTATTGCAAAAACCATAAAAATAGGTAACCCACCATATATATTCGTAAATTGGAATTAACGAATTTTAAGACATTTCCCGTGAAAATTKGTGCACGTTTTTGGAAAAGCCGCTATCCTGAACATTTACCAAATTGTCAAATCCAAATGTGGTTCGGCTTTAGTATACCGTCCCAGGATTTCGGGAATAGATTGGGTATGATCAGATAGAGGAGATTCTCCAGATCAAAAATTCCACTATTTTAATTACGTATTTTCTCGATGTAAAATTAATTTTTCACTAATATTTTTTGCTTTTAACTATTTTAATTACGTATTTTCTCGATGTAAAATTAATTTTTCACTTATATTTTTTGCTTTTAAAGTGCCCATACACGACACAGAAGTGTGTTCGATCGGTATTTGTGCGCATGCGGTTTACTCGTGCATGGGCTTGTTCGCGTACCGATCCATGTTCGCGAAAATGTTTGATGTATGGCGTTGTGTCCGCAAAAAATCTCATTTCTCTCTTGTCGCCGAACAGTGAAAATCGCGGACGAACACAGCAAGTGTTAAGAGCCTGCTTTAGAGGCTTCAAAAATTCGTTTTTTTTGAAGATTTTTTTGGGAGGGACAGAAATAATTGATTCAAGTGAAATTTCTAGGCTTTATAGCTACATATTTTTGAACATCTTTCAAAAATTTTTGGATACGAAATCTTTGATATTCTGGCTTTGGGAAACAATTGCATGTGCATTTTTCGAACGCCAGGCAGGGTGCAGGTTACAATTTCTTTCGGAAAAAAGAAATTCAAAAATATTCATGTTTTTTAATAACTTATCTTCTAATTAAACCAAGGAAATTCCAAAAAAAGTGTAAAATTTAAAAAAAGTTTTTTTTTTGTCCAAAGGAACTTGGACTACTTAATGTTTTTTAAAAATATGTTCAAACGTGGCTTTTCTTGGTTTATTTATTATAGTTTAAATAGAAGATACTTTAATGTCAAAGATAATAAACTTTGCCCCATATTTCATACGACGTTTAGCCGCCAAATAAGAAAAAAAGTAAAAATGAAAAACCGAGAAATCGCGGGTCAAAGTTTTTGCTTTTTATATATCTCATTATATCTGCTAGACGCTCGGTAACTATTTCCTTCGAGCTTGGATAATATTTTGAATTCTCATCTTTAACTTTGGGGACATGTTCTTAGATAATTTTTAACGAGATTTAAGCAAAAAAAAAATCGATTGTTTGAAGTTGCTAAAGCAGGCTACCCCATTAATAAAGATTTCGTAACAGAATTTATGAATCTTATAAAAAAATTAATTAGCAATTTGGCAAACGAAAAGTGATAAATATAAAAATAGAATTAAGAAAAATAAAAGTTTGAATAACTTATTAACGAAATACAAATAAATGGGCTATATTAGAAATAAAGAAAGAAATGTTCCGTTTGCTTGTGGCACATGTTTACTGTGTGAAGAACGAACGCAAAATGAATTTGTGTGTCGATTATGGGCGAAGCGAATTCACACAGATCCAACGCACATGTGTGTCGTGTATGGGCCCTATTAGTGGACATAAAAGTGAAAAATATAAGTGAAAAATTAATTTTCTGTAATACGTAATTAAAATAATGGAGTTTCAACTTTAAACGCGAATATCTCGAAAACTTTAAGCTTCCTGCCGCTATAACTATATATATTCTTGATCTGGAGGATCTCTTCTATCCGACCATACCCATTCTAATCCCTAAATCGTGGGACAGTATACTAAATTTTTCCCTAAAAAGTTATTCAAGTTATTGGCAAATGTTCAGAGCGGCTTTTCCGAAAACGTGCACAAATTTTCACGGGAAATGTCTTCAAATACTCGTTTTTAATTCTACTTTACGAATATGTATGGCGCGTGCCTTTGAAAACAATATTTTCTTTGTTTTAATACAAAAACATCGTAATTCCCGAAATTAAAAGTTCCCTTTTACACTTAATACGTGTTTAGATGTTAAAAATATATTTTCTATCATATATACACGTAATTATTGATGTTGATTATTTTATCAATATTGAATTGATTTTTATGTTATTTTTATAAAAATATAAAAAACTTCACAATCACTTCACTTCAATTAAAATGGCAAGGTTATGTTCGAAATTATGGCATCGCTGTTGTAAATCCGAATKGCAACTATTGATTCATGCATTGATCGTTTTCGAATTATCGATACTCTCAATAATCGAGTGATATGCAAAATCGTACTATTTTTATTGTTTTTATTGCAAAAAACATAAAATAGATAACGCGCCATATATATCCGTAAATTGGAATTAAAACCACGAATTTTAAGACATTTCCCGTGAAAATTGGTGCACGTTTTCGGAAAAGCCGCTCTCCTGAACATTTACCAAGTTATTAAATTTGTTTTTTAATTTATAAATTTTGTACAACATTTGGAACATGAAATCATATAGCCCTGACAGACGACAGCGCTAATGCATATTAGCCGGCTTAATTTACACTTATTTGCGCATTTGACCCATGTTTTTATATTGCTAATTAAATTATGTGCAAGTATATTAAAAAAAGGAGGATGGAGTCATGTGTAGAAGTTCACGCAAGTGAGGCAAGTTCTCTGATCGCCATTCACTTGGGAGTGGCCAGAAATGATTCTTTTACATGAACGTCTAGCCACAATCCTCATCAAAGTGAGGTTCTTCAAAATATCGCTGATTTGCGCCCACGCCCCGACGGAAGAGAAGGACGATGTGACCAAAGATGCCTTTTATGAGTGCTTGGAAAGCACTTATGAGTGCTGGTCCCGCCACGATGTCAAAATCCTGCTTGGCGACTTCAATGCCAGGGTGGGCAAAGAAGGTCTCTTTGGCACTACGGTCGGTAAGTTCAGCCTCCACGAGGAAACATCCACAAATGGGCTGAGGCTGATAGACTTCGCCGGGGCCCGAAATATGGTTATCTGTAGTACTAGATTCCAGCATAAGAAGATACATCAAGRTACCTGGATGTCTCCGGATCGAAAAACCACCAACCAAATCGATCATGTTGTGATAKWCGGAASACACGTCTCCAGTGTTCTAGATCTGCGTGCGTTCCGAGGTCCGCACATCGAYTCGGACCACTTTCTTGTTGCAGACAAGATTCGCCCGAGCGAGGAAGGTTCGACGTAGAGAAGCTGCAATCAAAGCAGACAGCCGAACGTTTTTCTACTCGACTTGCACTCCTGCTCTCTGAGAGCTTTCGTCAACAACTCGGTATAAGGGAATTGTGGGACGGCATTTCAAACTCCTTAGGTACAGCTGCAACTGAAACCATTGGTTTTCGGAAAGTACAAAAGAACAGCTGGTACGACGAGGAGTGCAGTGGAGGAGTGGAGAGAAAACTGGCTGCCTACTTGGCAACGTTACGGTCGACCACAACACGTGCGGGATGGGATAGATACCGAGAGTTGAAGAGGGAAGCGGGACGCATTTTCAGACAGAAAAAAAAGAGGCCGAAATGCGTGAGTACGAAGGGCTTGATAAGCTGGCCGACAAGGGTAACGCTCGAAAATTCTATGAAAAAATGCGACGGCTYACAGAAGGTTTCAAGACCGGAGCATACTCTTGTAGAACCCCCAAAAGTGATCTAGTCACGGAAGCCCAGAGCATACTTAAAGTATGGAGGGAACACTTCTCCAGGCTGCTGAATGGCAGTGAATTCACAACGCCAGGAGAAGGCGAACCCGATTCCCCAATGGATGACGATGGAGCAGACGTTCCATTGCCCGACCATGAAGAAGTTCGAAAAGCAATTACCCGCTTGAAGAACAGCAAAGCGGCGGGGGCCGATGGATTGCTGGCCGAGCTATTCAAACATGGCGGCGAAGAACTGATAAGGAGCATGCATCAGCTTCTTTGTAAAATATGGTAGGACGAAAGCACGCCCAACGATTGGAATTTAAATGTGCTATGCCCAATCGTCAAAAAAGGACCACACAATCTGCGAAAACTACCGTGGGATAGGCCTCCTCAATATCGCATATAAGTTTCTATCGAGCGTATTGTGTGAAAGATTAAAGCCTACCGTCATTAAACTGATTGGACCTTATCAGTGTGGCTTCAGACCTGGAAAATCAAYAACCGACCAGATATTCACCATGCGCCAAATCTTCGAATAGACCCGTGAAAGGAGAATCGACACTCACCACCTCTTCGTCGATTTCAAAGCTGCTTTCGACAGCACGAAACGGAGCTGCCTGTATGCCGCGATGTCTGAATTTGGTATCCCTGCAAAACTTATACGGCTGTGTAAGCTGACGTTGAGCAACACCAAAAGCTCCGTCAGAATCGGGAAGGAGCTCTCCGAGCCGTTCGATACCAAACGAGGTTTCGGACAAGGCGATTCCTTATCGTGCGACTTTTTCAACCTGCTTCGGGAGAACATAGTTCGAGCTGCAGAACTAAATAGAGGAGGTACCATCTTCTATACGAGTATACTGCTGCTGGCGTATGCAGATTATATTGATATCATCCGCCTCAACACCCGCGCCGTTAGTTCTGCTTTTTCCAGACTGTACAATAAAAAAAAATCGCCACTTGGCACTCACGTCACTGTTGAGAGTCATAGCTTTGAAGTTGAAGATAATTTCGTCTATCTTGGAACCAGCGTAAACACCACCAACAATGTCAGCCTCTCTCGACAAACAAAAACCAAASTCTATAAGTCACTCATAATTCCAGTTCTGCTATATGGTGCAGAGGTTTGGACGATGTCAACAATGGATTAGTCGACGTTGCGAGTTTTCGAGAGAAAAGTTCTGCGAAAGCTTTATGGTCCTTTGCGCGTTGGCCGCGGGGAATATCGCATTCGATGGAACGATGAGCTGTACGAGATATACGACGACATTGACATAGTTCAGCGAATTAAAAGACAGACGCTCCAGCTCTGCAAGTATTCGATGCATTACCCGCCGGGGGAAGCAGAAGAAGAGGAAGACATACACTCCGTTGGAAGGACCAAGTGGAGAAGGACCTGGCTTCACTTGGAATATCTAATTGGCGTCATGTAGCGAAAAGAAGAAACGCCTGGCGCGCGGTTGTTAACTCGGCTACAATCGCGTAAGCGGTGTCTACGCCAATCAAGAAGAAGAAGATATTACCAAAAACAAATTTTAATATTTTTAGATTCCACAAAATAAACAACGCACAGTTCGCTATCCACTTTTCCAATATTCTTAACTTTTTCGCACACTATTATCAGCACAATTCCGATTTCTTTGGCACCGCGATCTGACTGTACCGCTGGAAAGAGGAAGTCCTCCTGATTAAAAAATATATAGGGCTATAGGTACCGACAATGCTTAGTTTAAGAGATATTCGACCTTAAATTTCAAAAATTCGCAAACTTCGTACATTTCAAGACGCTATTTCACCACATTAAACACACTTTATTCTCATTTTTTACTTCAAATTAATTAAATTTCATTATAAACTTGTAAATAACTCCATATCTTACACTTTTAGCAGGTTTTTTACCTAAAAAATCTGCATTTTAAAAATTACATTTTACACTCGTTTGTTTACCAAAAATTACTACGAAATGGAGCGCCGCCATGTAATGATAAGGCAATTCGCTGCAATTCCTCTTTTTTGCAAAAATTCCTCTATTCATGCATATGGATATCTTTTTTTTTAATTTATTAAGTAAATAAGTAATATTATATACATGTATTACTAATTTTATATAATAATATTGTATATACATTTGTATAAATAATATTATATAATAATATTACGTAATAAAGTGTAAAGTATATTAGTACAGTACGAAAATTCAAATTTTCGTTCAATATGAGTGCATGGGAACCAACAAATATAACCACTTTATCCCCTTTTATAACAAAAACTCAATATATTTTTTATTTTTAACGCAGAAAGGTGTACTCCGCGAAAGTACTTCAGTCATCCCGACATGATATTATATAAATTTTATAATACTATATTATCATAGAGTTTTAATTATATGGGTTTATTAAATATAAATCACATATTATACATATACATACCATATGTAAAATGTATAATATGTAGAAAAAGTTTTCATAACTCAATTATAACTTAAAAAATGTTAGAAAGTATTTTTTATTATAATTAATGTAGAAAAAAGAATCACACAAAAAAACAAACAAAGAAAAATCCTTAAGTATCCTACATATTTGATGTTTAAGATGTGACAACGCTCGTTTTCCTCATAATTGTAAACAGTCTCACCTTTGCAACGCCGAGTTCTCTAAGTGATTTTTAAGTTAATAAATTTAGGTGAAATATTACAAAATAAAATTGAAATGTGAACTTATTTCAATGTTTAGAGTGTATATTTAAGTATACAGAGTGAAAAACGTGAATAAATTTAATGGAAGATAGAGAAATACCTTGTGTTATTAATGCATATTTTTGAACTTTTAATCCCCTATCCGGACATACCCCATTTATACGGAAATTCGGTTTTTTTTACCCCTGCGCCAAAGTAATCGGAATCGTGCACTATTATCTTATGCGTGGTTAATAATAATAGAGTTTTTCTTTAAATTTATATTGATTTTCCAAATATACCAAAAT